TGGATTTTCCAGTATGACTTTGCTGTAAGTGAAGAAATGGCAGTGATGTCATAGTCTTTTCACACATATCTGATATAATTTAGGGAATCTTTCTTGAATTCATTTCATTATAAATTGGTTAATTGAGTTTTCTGGAGAAAGTATTTCTAGACTGCACAATTTTTTCTGTATCAACTCTGTGAAATACATTTCCAAATTTTGAATATCTGCTTTGCTAATCTCCAATTTATAGATGTAAGAACATCTGCTTGATGATAGTGAATCAGTAGTTGGATAAAAATATATCAAATCTAATGTTTGCTAGAGCTGCTACTTTAACAGTATATTACAACCAAGTGGCTTAAACAATAGAAATTTATTATCTCACATTTCTGAAGGCTGGAAGTTCAAGATCAAGATGCCAACAGGATTAGTTCCTTCTGAGGGCTGTGAGGGAAGGATCTATTCCAGGCCCTTCTCCTTGGCTTGTAGATGGCCATGTTCATGTTCAGCTGGCACTCTCCCTGTGTGCATGCCTGTGTCCGAATTTCCCCTTTTTATAAGGATGCTAGTCATGTGATTTAACCCTAATGACCTCATTTTAACTTGATTACCTCTGTAAATACCTGTCTCCAAATAAGGGCACATTCTGAAGTGCTACGGGTAGGACTTCAACATAGAAATGTTGGAGGGGGTCACAATTTAACCCATAAATGTGCTCTCTCTCTCTCTCTGTTTCTCTCTCTCTCTCTATACACACACATATAGAGAGAGTATGGTTTAATATTTGATATATTTTTATTAAATCCTAAAGGCATTTAAATTCATGGATTTAAATAATCATTAAGCCATCACTGCATAACATTTTTAGCGCTCTTATCTTTTCTTACAAAGTTACCTAGCTTGTCCTGCACCAGAAATAATAAAACCACCTCCTATCCTCTCCAGATTCCTAGAAGTGCTATTCTACCCTATTCTTCTTGTCTCTCTCTCTCTCTCTCTCTCTCTCTCTCCTTATAAAGAGACAGGATCTCATGCCATCACTCAGGCCAGAGTGCAACGGCCCAGTCATAGCTCACTGCAGCCTTGAACTCCTAGGCTCAAGCGATCCTCTCACCTCAGCCTCTAGAGTAGCTGGGACTGCAGGTACACACCACCATGCTTGGCTAATTTTTTTATTTTTTATAGAGACAGGATCTCTCGGCAAAGGATCTCTCTCTGCCCAGGCTAATCTCAAACTCCTGGCCTCGAGTGATCCTCCCGCCTCAGCCTCCCAAAGTGCTGGGATTACAGGCATGCACTACCACTCCTGGCTTTTACAACAGAGGATATACTATATTTTAAAACAGCGTTTAGGGCCAGTTTGGATTTGGTTGAGGGACCACACTTGGGGATCTAGAGGACCCCATGTGGCCTTGAGGCTGCAGACGACACCAAAAGCATAGGCAACAAAAGCAAAAATAAACAAGTGGGACTACATCAAACTAAAAAGTTTCTGCACAGCAGAAGAAACAATCAATAAAATGAAATGGCATCCTAAGAAATGGGAGAAAATATTTGCAAACCATACATTTCATAAGGGGTCAATATCCAAGAAGTATAAGGAACTCATACAATTCAATTGCACAACCAAAAACAGCCCAATTATAAAATGGACAAAGGACCTGACATTTTTCCAAAGAAGACACACTAATGGCCAACAGGTATAGGGAAATGTGCTCAAATCACGTATCATCAGGGAAATGCAAATCAAAACCACAGTGAGATATTACCTCATACCTATTAGGATGGCTTTTATCAAGATAGTCAAAAGATAACAAGTGGTGGTGACGATGCGGAGAAAAAGGAACCCTATGCACTGTTGGTGGGAATATAAATTGGTACAGCCATTATGGAAAATAGAGGTTCCTCAAAAAACTAAAAGTAGAATTACCATAAGATTCAGCAACACCACTTCTGGGTACATATCCCAAAGGAAACGAAATTAGAATCTCAAAGAGTTACCTGCACTGCCATGTTCACTGCAGCAGTATTCACAGTAGCCAAGATATGTAAACTACGTGTCATCGACAGATGAATGGATGAAGAAGATGTGGTATGTCTACACACACACACACACACACACACACACACACACACACGCACTCTAAGTGGAATATCATTCAGTCTTAAAAAAGAAGGAAATCCTGCCATTTGAGACATGTATGATCCTGGAGAACATTATGCTAAATGAAATAAGCCTGGCACAGAAAGACAAATACTGCATGATCTTTCTTTTAACTGGACTCTTAAAAAGTTGAACTCATAGAAACAGAGCAAAAGGATGGTTACCAGGGTCAGGTGTTGGGGGGAAATTGGGGGGTATTGGTCAAAGGGTACAAACTTTCAGTTATAAGAGGAATAATTCTGGAGACCTAATGTACACCACAGTAACTATAGTTAATATTATAATTTTTGTATAGTTGACATTTGCTAAGAGTAGATCTTAAGTGTTCTTACCACACATACAAAAAAGGTAACCAGTACAGTGATGGATATGTTAATTAGCTTGATTGTGGTAATCATTTCTCAATTTACATGTATAGCAAAACATCATGCAGTATACCTTACATATATACAATTATTATCCATCAATCATACCTCAGTAAAACTGGGGAAAAAAAATAGGGGAAACTGGGTGGGGAGGTGAACAGGGACACTGTTCTATCTTTGCAACTCTTCCGTGTATCTAGAACTATTCTAAAATAAAAAGGTATTTAAATATAAAAATACTTTTATAAGATAGTGTCTGGTACATATTAAACATCCCATGAATGCTATATTTAGAATTATATGTTATTTTTAATGCCATTGCTTATACATGTTTTTGTACAAATGAACACATTAGATATGGCCTCTAGAGGACAGTGTTGAGTCATAGAAAGATTTTTACAATTTCTACCCAAGTTGAAGATGGACTTAACCATTTTTCTTCTTACTTTTTAACCACAGCCCTCTGTTTATTCATCATCCCTCTTTTAAAAAATGCCAAAGAAAATTTATATCTCTTCTGTTATTTTGATTAGTTGGATATCTTGTTTTAACTTATTTTCGTATAGTTTTGGCTCCACAAAGATCTATTAGGGAAGAATGATCTGCAGTTTTCACCACAGTGTTCGCATCAATGAAGATTTGTGAGTTGTGAGGGGACCAGGGAAGCAATACGAGGCACATATTATGTGTCATTTGTGAGTTCTTACATGGTGGAGACAGAATTATAGAGCTGTCTATAACCATCTATAACTAGAGCAGTGTAGTTTTCCTTTGGAAGAACTAAAAGCGGTTTTAGATTGATGAGGATGCTTGTAAGATAAGGAGGGGTTTTGACCTTTTAAAGGTTGAGACCATCTGCTCGACGGTGGTTTGCCGGGGGTGGAGGAAGGGGAAGCAAGCATTGTTCATGCTTCCGGAGCAAATTTCTGCAGTAATCAGAATAGCAACTCAAGATTTTAATGTTAAAATTATCACTCCATAGGTAATCTCGTGAGATTGACATTTGATTTGTAAGAGGCTGCCGGGGTCGGGAGCCGCAGAGTGCTACTCAAGTGCATCAGAGCCGTATGAATGTTAATTTGCAAAACGCTCACCTTGGACCTAGGGGCAGCTGAAGACAATTGTTCATGCTTTGGTGGACTCAGAAATTCTGGAACACATCATTCTGTCATTAAATGGATTAAATTTTCTCTGCTGATAGTGTAGTCTGAGGGCTCCACTCACACTAGTTGTGAATTTAGTATAAACGTTAAAAAATAGTTGTCATTTGGATGACAGTGTGCTCCACTTAGCAGCATCCTATAGATTTCTTATGTTTTTGCTCAAAGAATGAATCTGTTAAAAGCTCATCCATTGAATTGGGATCTATGAGTCTTTTAATAGGATTTTCGAAAGGGGGTGGAAAATTTATAGCTCCTTATAAATAGCCTGACTTAAAAGTTAAGGTCCATGGTGTTTTGTTCAGCTTTTCCATCAAAGTTAAACCCACGGGCAGGGATCTGTTTCATTCTCTTCTAGTAGTGCCGAGCGCCAAACATGCTCTTTCTCAGCTACAGTGCTCTCTTAATTTAGTGCTGGTAAACAAAGTTCCATTTACCATGTAGGTATTTAATAACTATTATGATTTGAGATAAGTTTGGTCCTTAAGATGGTGATTGGTCCCCTAACCAGGTCCCTAATTCAGTGTTCCTCATCTCAGGGACAGGCATCACCTTATCCCAGTGGTGCAAGTTAGAGTCCCAGGTGTCATCTTTGACACCACTCTTTTCCTCATCCTTACCCATAATGGATGCAGCACCACGTACTATCGATTTTACTTCTTAAATATTTCTTCAAACCATCCACTCTCTCTTCATGGCAATCCAAGCCCTCCTCATATCTGCTTAGAATGCTGAAGAAGCTGCCTCACCCTCAACCATTGTGATCTTTCAAAGCACACATCTATGAGAACTTCAGTGACTCCCCATTGTTCTTAAGATAACAATCAAAGTCACTTTCATGGGAGATAAGGCCATGCAAGGTGGTCCCTGCCTCTCTCTCCAGCCTCATCTTGAAACGTTCTCCTTGCTCCCTGTGCTCCAGCCTCGGAGCCTCCTGTGTGTCACCGCGAGTCTCAGTGCCCGTAATTTCTTCTATGTGAGAGTCTCCCCTGCTGTCTTTGTCGCATTACCTTTTGCTCATCCTTTGTAAACCAGCTTGAGTATGACTTCCTCATGAATGACTTCCCTGATCTCCTGGTCTAAACTGTTTCCTTTCTTATGTCTTCTATAGACTCTTGCTCCTTCACTTAATTGTGCTTACATAAATTTATAGTCTGTCTGCTTTGTTGTTTCTTGATTAATATGTGCCTCCCCTACCAGAACATAAGCTCTGCGAGCAGGGATCATGCCCGAGTGCGCTCACCAGCAAATCCCTAGCACTTGGCACAGTGCTTGGAAAAAGTAGTTGCATTTGTTGAATGAATAAATGGCTATCTATTGAATGTTTAGGTGGAGGATGAAGAACCCACTGGATACATTCGATTCGAAAAATTTCTTCCAGTGATGACTGAAATACTACTAGAAAGGAGGTAAATAAGTAAATGCATTTTTTTTTTTTTTTTGAGACAAGAGTCTTGCTCCGTCTCCCAGGCTACAGTGCCATGGCGTCAGCCTAGCTCGCAGCAACCTCAAACTCCTGGGCTCAAAGGAACCTCCTGCCTCACCCTCCCTAGTAGCTGGGACTACAGGTGCACGCCACCACGCCTGGCTAATATTTTCTATTTTTAGTAGAGACAGGGTCTCGCTCTTGCTAAGGCTGATCTCGAACTCCTGAGCTCAAGCGATTCTCCTGCCTTGGCCTCCCAGAATGCTAGGATTACAGGCGTGAGCCACCTCGCCCAGCCAGTAAATGCAATTGTTAAGACAAAGTAATGATCAGAATTACATTAATTTCAAAACACTTGGCTTTTTCACTTTGTGTATTATATTTAACCAATAAATCTTAGGATAGCTTCCTTCTAACCTTTCAGTATACTTCTGAACTGCCAGTGGTATGTGCTTAGAAATATCAACCACACTATTATTAATCCAAGCAAAGCATGATTAAAGGGCAGATAAGCTACAAATATCATAAATCATTCTTATTATCTTCTGTTTTGAATTATCAATGATAAATAAGACTCTTAATTATTTTTCTAGCAAAAGTATAGCCTTAGCTTACCCATAGTTGGTTTATTGTAGAGGTTTTGTGACCAGATAAATTGATTTCCAAAAAGCTTGTAGACAGCATCAAACATGTCAGTGATTTTGCACTATGTCCTGTAGGGGTGTGATACTTTCAACTTTCATGTCTAGAAATCCAAAAAGATTTCAGTGAGGGAAGTATTATCACCCCAGTATGTTAGCAGCTTTTATTTAGTTTTAGGTGGTCATTTATTATGTAAAGAATGAGGTAAATACTATGGCATTTACTCATTTTATTGCATGATCGTAGATACAGACCAGTTCCAGAAGATGTCCTCCTTCATGCTTTTGAAGTACGTAAGCTCCAGATTATGTATATATATATATATTTATATGAAAAACTCATCATGTAAAACTTATTCACCAAACAAAAAATATAGTATCTATCCTTTCTTTCCCCTTAGGTTTTAGATTCAGCTAAACGTGGGTTTCTTACTAAGGAAGAACTGATCAAGTATATGACTGAAGAAGGTAAGAGTGATTTATAATGTAACAGTGATTTACATAAAGGAATTAATGATTTTTAATAGTTATGCAAAAGTTATAGAGGATACTTTAAAATCAGTCATTCTGGTTCAAAAGAGTTATTTACTCTTCCTATTCTTTTTTTGTTTCAGTCACTCAGGTGGATGAAACTCTTCCTATTATTTTGGTTTTGGGATGGTTTCTGTTTTGTGGGGGTTGAGAAGACAAAGGGTAAAGTAAGGGGAGAGGGATTGTTGCCTCATAGCTTTTGCCAAGTGTAACGATGGCTTCTGTAAATTGCAGTCATTCCATTCAGGGTGTCTCCAGATAAAAGGTGCGCAACCCGGAAAACATGAACTATCAATCGCCATAAATTAATTCCTATTACTAGATTGAACATTTCAATTGGAGTACATAAAAATTCCTTTTTTAAAAAAATTTCTTTTTGAAGAGTTTTTCAGTTGGTGAAGTTACAGATAAAACAGCCTCAACTGAATATGAAGTCACACACAAAAATTTTTATATTAATGCAACCATATATTTGCTGTGAACATGGAACATACACACACATAATACCTGCACACTTATATTTCCTTTAGGAATTCTCTCGGCTTAGGCCAATGTGTAAATTTGTTTTCCCTGAGGGTCAACAGCCTGGCGGGCAGTCTCTTGAAACCATCCTCATACTGGTCACTGCTCCTCCTCCCATACAACGTTAGAATTGTCTCCTTTGTTCAGTTCACTGGTTTACAAATTAAGTCCTGAATGATTCAGAGTCACTGAACACTTGAGACAGAATCTAAGAGCCAGTAGTTTGGAGTAGGGATGACTAAGACTGCATCTACATGCATAACTGGTTTGACCATTTTTACTTGATCCACCATTAGATGGGAATACAGGTAGTGAGAGTAAGAATGACAATCAGAGCTGCCTCCCAAGAACTCTTATGCCATTGTTAAAACTGTCTTAGGGATTAATTTTGATGGGACTGTTATGACTTTGAAAGCATCAGCCTCTTAATCCTAAGGATTAGTTTAACTTTAAAGGAAGTAAATCCTAGGTTATATTAGGCAACATGAATTTTGTCAAAATGGCCAAAGCAGTTCAATTTCATTAATATTGTGTACTTACTGTATGTTTAGCATTTAGTAAGTATAGTAAGGTATAATGATACTGAAATTTGCTTCTCCCGCAAGGATGTTACAATCTTAATGGGGAAATAAAACTTACTTATAAAATAATTCACAGTAGAAGACAATAGAAAAATAAATATCAGAAGATCAATGCAGTCTAGACCATCCTGGAAAGCTTGGTCTGGAAAGACTTAAAGAGAAAATAGGGTTCTTAACATGGTGGAATTTATATGGTGAGTTGTTTAGGGCAGGGGTAAAATCTAATGCATTATAATACCCTCACACAGAGTAGATCTCAATAAATGTTTGTTGAATTAAGTAATGAATGAGTAGACAAAGGAAGACCAGGTGAAGGTGCTGCTGAAAGGGAGGCATTATAGATGGGAAAACAGTATGAACAAACACTGGAAGGTAGGAATGAGCCTGGTATTTCAGAAGCCCGTGAGAAGACAGGCCCAGCTCACCCAGAGGTAATGCCGGCAAACGGTAGGAAATTAATTTAGATAGATTTACTGGGACTAAATTGTGGAAGCCTGGGCTCAGGACTTTGGAATTCATCTTGTGGGCAATGGACAAGTATTGTAGGATTTTGAGCAGATGAGTCACAAGGTGCAAGAGTGAGTGTGGGAAGGCTGTTCTGGTGCTGGTAGGTTTGTTAGATGAGGGAGAAAGAGGTTAGACAAGGGAGACCTGTTAGGAGGCTATTTCAGCATTTTGAAGGTATGCTAATAAGGACAATGGCAATGGAAAGAAAGGACTGATACAGAGGGACTGTCTACATCAGGATCCATGGGTCATCATGGGTAACAAAGTGCTAGGGACAAAGATGGGAGCTGAGTGAAAAGTAACAACAAGGCTTTGACTTGGATGACCGGTGTTATGGTAATGCTACTGACAAAAATAGGGAAATCAGGAAGAGATTGCAATATATACAGAGACGATACAGTCGTGTGGTTGCTTGGAGGTGCTGTGTGATAATTTCCGAAAAGGTATATTTGCAGAGTTAATAGTATTAATACTTAAAGATCAACTATTGGGTATCTCAGTGGACTAAGCATAGAACAATTATTTTCAGACAAGAATATAGATGGTTACAATCATTCAATAAATATGACTAAGTATCTTCCATATTGTATGAACTGATATGTTTGATAGTGATATATAAGATGTAAAGTTCTATAGAATTATTTAATATAACAGACCCATCAGGTAAGTGTAATTGGAGTTGACTAGTCTAGTTAAATAGTCTGGTAAGAATTGGTGCTTTGAGATTCTCAGAATTCCACAAAATGTTTTTGAATATATCTATGCTTTATAACAATATGGATTAAAGTTACTTGCACAGTCTTTTCATGGTATCCACAGAGCATCAGACACATTAATCAGTTTGAGAATATGCATTCTAAATGCCCAGATGTCATATGATAAACATAAATCATACTGAGCCAAGTTCCTACAAGATGGAAGTCCACATGTGTCCAGGAATGTGTATTGCATCAGATAGTATTTAGCAGCAGAGACAATCTCAATATTTATCTATTTATTTATTTAGACAGAATCTTACTCTGTTGTTGAGGCTAGAGTACCGTGACATCAGCCTAGCCAACAGCAACCTCAAACTTCTGGGCTCAAGCGATCCTCCTGCCTCAGCCTCCCAAGTAGCTAGGCCTACAGATGCAGTCCACCATGCCTGGCTGATTTTTTCTTTTTTTCTATCTGGCTAATTTTTTCTATTTTTAGTAGAGATGGGGTCTTGCTCTTGCTCACACTGGTCATAAACTCCTGAGCTCAAGCAATCCTCCCTCATTGGCCTCCCAGAGTGCTAGGATTACAGGCATGAGCCACCATGCCCGACCCTCAAAATTTTTTTTAAAACAAACATTTACATGTTGCTACTTATGTGCCAGGTATTGTTCTAAGTACTATTCAAATAATAACACATTTGATCATCCTAACAACTCTATGCGATGGCTAGTATTATTATCATCTTCTTTTTATAGACAGGTAAACTGAGGCATAGAGTGGTTAAGTGAGTTGCTCAAGATCTTAAAGCTATTTAATAGTAAGAGACAGTCAGCACTGAACCCAAGCGGACTGGCTTCCAAACTCATGCTTTTAACCATTAAGCTATTTTCCTCCCATCCTTAATCAAATACCACTTATTTCTTTCCTTGCCCAAGGAAGCAGTGCAATCATATTTTACTATGAGCAAGGTCTTGTGCAGTGGGGTATGCGCCATGAGCTGAACTGCTGGCTTTCAGAGCCCAGTTCCACCACTCACTCGTTGGGGTGGGCTGCCTTGTTTCTTTGTGTGCTGGTGTCCTCAGTATAGATGGGAATAAGAGCAGTTCTTGCCTCTCATTAGGTGGTTGGGAGATTAATTTAGTTAATATATGTGAGGCATTTAGGCCAGTGCCTGGCACACAGTAATGCTCAATGAATGTTTGCTATTAGTATTCTTTAAGGATTTACACAGAAGCTCATTTGGCAGTAGATTTAGTATTTAACAATCAGGTGTAAGAGAGATTCAGAATTTGTCTTTTTAGCATTTTAGGCATTCTTTGTTTTCTTTCGTTGTAAGCATGATTGCAAAAGAACTCTGCACATTCCCTTGTTTGATAGCACTACCTTCAGTGTCATCAAAATCACTATTTGAATCATTTCCATATTAGTAACTGAATTCTAATTTAGAAAGCATTGTTTGTAGTGGCAGGTGATTTAAGGTAAGTAGGCCTCAGGCCTTGGTAACTCACCTATTGAACAAGACTCTTTAGGGATAAGATGATGATTTGGCTGTTTCTCTATTTTTGTTTAATGTAGGGACAAAGTTCTAACCTAAATGATCTACAGCCTTTCCAACATTCTTCTTGAGTTTGCTTCTCACCTTAGTGAAACCAGTTCCAAGATGGCTCTCAGCTGTTATCTGAATCCAACTAAAGCCCACAGATTTTCTATCCAACTTTTGGTTTCATTGGACACCAACACTAAGCCAAACTGTAGCAAGTTTGGAGTTTTGAAACAGTTGATGAGTGGTATCTCTCACTGCGTTCAGCTGGCATCACTAGGTTGGCCAGACCCGGCTAAGAAATATCCAGAGATGTTGGCTGGGCGCAGTGGCTCACGCCTATAATCCTAGCACTCTGGGAGGCCGAGGAGGGAGGATTGCTTGAGCTCAGGAGTTCGAGACCAGCCTGAACAAGAGTGAGACCCCATCTCTACTAAAAATAGAAAAATTAGCTGGGCGTCGTGGCTAATTGTAGTCCCAGCTACTCAGGAGGCTGAGGCAGGAGGATCGCTTGAGCCCAGGAGTTTGAGGTTGCTGTGAGCTAGGCTGGTGCCACGGCACTCTAGCCTGGGCAACAGAGTGAGACTCTGTCTCAAAAACATAAAAAAACATAAAAAAAATACCCAGAAATATAATCGTTACAGTTTCGAGTCTCTGTTATCTGCTCTTCAGCAATTTCGTATAGCAGCAACCATTTCATCGTCTCGTCAAGCTCTTACTAAACATAAGGATTAGATTGCCTATAAAACTGAGGCTTCAGGTTAATCCTTTGATAATTTCAATAGTTTTAATTTTAAATAAATAAACAACTTTGTTCATGATGTGTTTATGTACTCCTGCTGTTTTGGCCCAAATGATGGATTCTATTAATGTAAGTTGCTCGATCTATGATATCTGCAGGGTAAAATAAGTCCAAAATCTGCCAGGGTGTACAACAGAATGTTCTTTAAAAATTTTTTTAATTTTTTTTTATTATGGGTACATAGTAGTTATATATATTTATAGGGTGCATGAGATGTTTTGATACAGGCATACAATGTGAATTAATCAAATCAGGGTAATTGGGGTATCCATCACCTCAGGTGTTTATCATTTCTTTGTGTTAGGAACATTCCAATTTTACTCTTTTCGTTATTTTAAACCATAACTTATTGCTGACTGTAGCCACTTTGTTGTGCTATTAACAGCATGCTTTTTGAATGTCTAGACTATCATGATATGATGGCTGTACAGCTCCGGGGAGGGTAACTTAGGGACACAGTGGGGGCCTGTGTGGCTCCGTGGCCATTAAGCTGGCTAGTGGAAAGAGAAAGAAAAAAGAGTCAGATGATTGTAAGTGATGATTTTCCCTTCTTGTCCCTCCAGGTGAGCCTTTTTCTCAAGAGGAAATGGAAGAAATGTTATCTGCTGCAATTGATCCAGACTCGAATTCGATTCATTACCGGGACTACATAACAATGATGGTGATAGATGAACATTAAGTGTTGTAATTTCTAATTGGAAGGATAATTTAAAACATTGCTTGTCCTCACCACCACTGTGCATATGGATACATCTGCGCCTGAGCTACCAAAGGACTTCCGTTCTTTATCGACTCTGTGCATAACGCCTCCTCAGAGCCCTTTAAAAAAAAAAAGAAAAAAAAATTGCTTGTCCTTTCTAATCTCACATTTTATCTTGCAGTTTCTATATCTGATATTTAATACCTTGTGATATAACTATTTCAAGATATTTTGTTTTTTAAAGATGATCATAACAATTTAAAACATAAAATTTTAGTATGTCTAGACTTATGGAATGACAGATTTGACAAATTGCTATTTCTTTAAAAACCATTTTAACATGAAAATGGATTGTTATTTATTTTCTACAGTAAAACTCTTGTTACCTTCAAATTGATTAAACTGACAAAATGAAGAATGACTGTAATGACCCAAGGTTTGGCATGTAAAGGTCTGGAGGGAGGCAGAATGACCACAAATTGAAAATGAGTAGCGATATGACAAGGGCTTCTTTTTAAAACAACAACAAACTCTTCAGCAATTTGAATGTGGAAGGAGAGTTATTGAAATGCCTATTAATAATTGATTCCTTAAGAGCCAATTACAAATCTCATTTGAGATTATAATAACTGGGTGTGAAAATTTTCATTTGCTGATCCGGCTGGTCCATGTCACCATTTATGCAATAGCTAAAGGAGTTGAGGTAATTGAATCTAGAGAAAAGAAGACTGAATGGAAATTGATGTGCGCAGTAGTGGCAACTCTCTCCTGGTCTTTAGAAGTCTCATCTATTCAGAATGTCTGTCCTTACTAAGAATATTGAGGAATTTTACGGTGTACAGGAGGTACAGCTGTTGAGAGAACAGAAGAAATTTATCTGTGCACAAGAGAGTTGGACACATGCATCTGGGGTCAGGGGAGGGTCAGGGCTGAAGACAGGAGCCTGGGAGCCACCGGTGTAGGGACGACACTTGGAGGCATGAGCCTGGTGAGACTGCCAGGGCGCGGGGAGAGCAGATGGAGAAGAGAGGAGCCCTGGTGCCCCGTCCTGCAGAGGGCGGGGAGAAGGGAAGGACCCCATGAGGGAGCCCAGCCAGGGAGGGACCCGAGGGAGGAAGCGCAGTGTCGGGGAGGAAAGGGGGACTAGCACGTCAGAAGATAACAGCGCCTGATGCCTGGTGACAGCCCTATAAATACGAGCTGGTCGAGCTGGTCGCCTTTTTATTAACGTGGTTGCTGGGAAGAGGGGGCAAGCAGGGAGTGTGGTGAATGACAGCTGAATCTTCCTGCTCCACAGCAGAATACAGGGCTGACGTCTCAAACGTTTCTATCAGCAACAGCAGGGTAAGGGCGTTTAGAAAAATGAAAGTAAATACCTCAAAAAGTTCAAAACGGTCACCTCAGAGGAGAGGGGCCCGGTGGGGCGGGGAGGGAATGGATGGGACAGGGGGTTGAAAAAAATAAGCCTTTTGATATTATTTGATTTTTAAACTATTGTACATGTATTTCTTTGATAAAGAAATTTTAAAGGACACAAAAAGAGGAGTTTTGCGTGCGCGCGCGCACACACACACACCTGTCCAAGGTGATTTATGAATGGGGTTTGGGGGGTGATAGCAGAGCCCCGCGAGGCCATTTAATGACATTTTATGTGTACTGCTAGAGCATCTTATTCTTCATTCACCAGTGTCTTTTCTGGCTGGGCGAGAGAAAGCTCAGGGGCGCAGGAAGGCTGCAGGGGAAGAACAGAGACCAGGAAGGGAGTAATTAGAAATCTCTTCTTTCCCCTAGGTTGTCTCTGCTCGCCCCCTGCCGCTGAGGGTCGCTAGAAAATGGGGTGACACGTTCCCAACCCATCCTTGTCACACCGTAATCTCCCCCAGCACATCAGCCCCCGCACCAGCCAGGCTGGGGAAAGACGATGTGGCCTTTCTCCTTTGGAAAATGAGAATTCTCAGGAAAGCAACAGAAACGCACATAGAAAATGACTGAAATTACTGGGTATCAGGAGAGATGATGACCGGACGAGAGAGATGGCGAGGGGGGCCAGGGTGGAGGCGGGCTAAGACTCAGTAATGACATGATGCGCGGTCATTTGCTTATTTTCTGTGGTTTTTGCTTCAAATGAGAGGCTCCTGCTCTCCCACGGCGAAGTGTGAAGCATAAAAAGCATAAACCCAGCGTTCATCATAGGGGATGACACGGGGCGGTGGCACGGGGTTCAGGGGTCCCCCCACGCCCGGCATGCCAAGGGGAGGCGGGGAAAGAGAAGCAGGAAGAAAAGAGAAGGGGACCAGAAGTGGGAGGTGCGAGAGTAAAGCCCAGCAAGACCAGGGAAAGGAAAACGCGGGAAGGATGGGAGGTGGGGCGTGGCGTGTAGGAGGCGAGGGTTAGGGTGAGGGTGAGAAGTGAGTCTGGGAGTCGTTTTGTGGACTGAGGCAATGCGTTAACACGTTAGTTTCCAGGACAAGATATGACAAACCTGATGGCTTAGAACAGAAGAAATTTGTTTTCTCACAGTTCTGGAGGCCAGAAGTCCAAAATCAAGGTGACAGCAGGGTCGTGCTGTCTCCAAAGGTTCCAGGGGAGGATCCTTCCTTGCCTCTCCCAGCTTCTGCCAGCTCCAGGCTCGTGGCAGCGTCACCCATCTCTGCCCCCGCTACACATGGCCTGTGTCTCAGATCTCCCTCTCCTTTCTCTTAGAAAGATACCAGTCACTGGATTTAGGGACCACCCTAAGTCCAGGATGATCTTATCTCCAGATTCTTAACTCAGTTACATCTACAAGCCCTATTTCCAAATAAGGTCACATTCACAGGCTCCAGGGATGCAGTGTACTGAACATTTGCGTTGAAATCCTAATCCCAAGGTGACAGTACTTGGAGTTGGGCTGTTGGGAGGTGATAGGCCGTGAGGGTGGCACCCTCATGAAAGGGACTAGTGCCCTTATAAGAGGAGGCCAGAGAGCCAGCCGGCTCTTTCTGCCATGGGAGGATACAGGAAGGTAGTTGTCTACAGCTTAAAAGTGGGCCCTTGCCAGGACTTGGTCACGCTGGCACTCTGATCTTGGATTTTCAGCCCCCCGGCTGTGAGAAATGAATGTCTGTTGTTTAAGCCACCCAGCCTGTGGTATCTGCGATAGCAGGCCAGACCGACTGAGACAGAGGGTTGGGGCCTGAGTCTATCTTTGTGGGTGCCACGATTCAACTCGCACAGTAACTTACCCTTGTTTTGACTTAAATGACATTCTCTAGAGGGAGAATTTCTTAGGACTATTGGACAAAATCTAAAGTTTTTTGTTTTGTTTTCCAAAAATAAGAAAAATGAATAGGCCAATGAGGACACATTAAAAATCTGTAGTGCGACTGAGAAAACACCGGGCAAATGAGAACTGAAAGTTAACAGAAACCCATGAGAGAAGCGAAGATATGTTTTCCTGTTGTTATCTCATTGGATTTCGCCTGCGATAACACAAATGGTATGCAGCAAGCATAGAGCTGGGAAACAAGTAGGATCCCCATTATCTTCAGGAACCCTCATGGTGAATGATTTTCTAATTGTATACTTGACTAAAATAAACAATTGTCTCATCTGTTCATTGATTTAACAAACCCTGAAGCCTAAAAGACACGCAGCAGGCCCTGTGAGGGGAACCAGCGGGAATGCGACTGCACGGGCGGCGACCTTGGGGAGTTCACGCTGTGATCGGAGAGAAGGATCTTCTCACAGGAAGTCACAGCCACGAGAAGGGAGCCCACACGAGACGGCTGTGGGGATTCAGGGAAGAAGGGAGGGCACGCAGAGGGAGGAATGGGAGAGGACTTCCCGGAGGAGGTAGCATTGGAGCTGGCATTGTAGGAGGGAGGATCTGAATATGTGACGATAGGAGGAAGGCCATTCTAGGCAAAGGCAAAAACGGAGGTGCGGGTGAGTGATCTCACTGGGAACAATGAGCTGTTCAATTTGGTTGGATGTTAGAGTCTGTGGGAAAAAGTCGTGGAGGTTAAGCTTGGTGAGGTTAGGTTGGGGCTGGCTCAGGGAGGGCCTTGAAGGTCATGCAAAGTTTATTCTGCAGACCCATGATTCTTAGATTGGGACAGAAGGCACAGGCCAGGGAGAACCTCCAGGGGGTGGGTGTCATTGGAAAGAGCTCCTCCAGAAGGTCTAACGTGCCCCGTGGGGCATCCTTCCCACCCTGGAACTCATGCCCTAGACAACGGCAACCGGTAATGCTCAGAGCAGGGAATGGCACCACCAAGCTGGGCTCTGGGAGGATTCATCTGCAGTTTCGTGTAAGACTTCATAGGGATGGGGCAAGACCAGAGGCAGAGGACACTCCTGCCAGCACCCCAGTCACGGGGAGAGGACCGCTGATCAAAGGGGAGTGGCTGTGGGCAGAGGAAAGAGGCGAAAGAAGCGGGCTCTGAGATCTCATTTGAGGAGCAGGGATGCAACCGCCGGGTGCCGGGGCTGGATTCAGTGAGAAAGCTTTTCTTGCTGGACACTCATCCTTATTTAGGTTAAGATAACATGGAAATGATTCTCTCCGCCTCTTACCACACAGCAGTTCTCAGGGCACTGCTGACTCTGAGGGTGCACATGCACAGATGGGTGACCAAGACACTCACTCGTTCTCCTATGTTATTCTCCCCCCAGGTTGTTTTCTGTTTCACTGACACTGGGGGAGGGAAGGAAGAATATCCAAATCCCCCTCACTTACTTCATTTGGATGATGGAAAGATTTAAATGTTTCACCAGGCCCTTTTTGATGCATGAGCTGTAGCAAGGCCTGGAGACTCCTCTGCCCCCCAGGAGCTGGGGCAGTGGTGGGGGCTGAGGAAGGGACGGGAGGACACGCCAGAAGTTGGACGTCCCGCAGACAAGCATCCCACTCTCCCAGCTCCGACCCCGGATCCTGGAAGCATCCTTGCTTCCTAGCTCACTCCGCTTCCAAGCTGCCAGAGTCTGTCTTCTAAACACGGCCAGCCACAGGCATGAGCCTTGAG